GAAAAACAGCCTGCTCTCTTCCTCTAAATTACACAGTATTTAGATCATCCCTGTTCCACTGAGAAATACAGCGATAACACAAAACAGCAGAAGAATGTGCTTAATGTGTGAGAGACTTGATGAGTGACTCCGGAAATGTTTCTTAATATGGCACTGAATCTGTCAGAGCGGCTACTGATTCAACACATTTTACTGGTTCAACAGCTATTTTGCAGCCTAATTTCTATATTGAAATGATGCAATAACATGGTACCGAATCTGTCATAGTGGCTACTGATTCAACCATTTTTACAGATTCAACAGCTGTTATTTGCAGCTTAATTTCTACATTGAAATGATGCATTAATATGGCACTGAATCTGTCAGAGCGGCTATTGATTCAACACATTTTACTGATTCAACAGCTTTTATTGGCAGCTTTATTTCTACATTGAAATAATTTTACATTAGCATGAATCAGCAGCTGCTCTTATAGATTCAGTCCAACACATTTGACTAATTCAACAGCTTGTATTTGTCTAAAATGATACATTAACTTGGAACTGAATCTGTCAAAGTGATTACTGATTTAAACATTTTACTGATTCAACAGCTTTTATTTGCAGCATAATTTCTAATTTGAAAAAAATTATACATGATACTTTAACATGAATCATTAGCTGTTCTGACAGATTCAATTCCAACACATTTTACTGATTCAACAGCCTTTTTGCAGTCTAATTTCTCTGTGGAAATGATGCATTAATATTGAATTAGTAGCCGCTCTGACAGATTCAACTCTTATTTGCAGCCTAATTTCTACATTGACAGATTCAGCATTACTTGGGAGCAACTACTGATTCAACAGCTTTTTAACAGTCTAATTTCTACATCGAAATGAAGCTTCATTAAGTGAATAATACACTAAATCAGTAGCCACTCTGACCATGTCTGTCTTAGTTTATCCTCATTTTTGTAGCTAGTACCAAGTCTTTTTTTGGTAATGCAATGACATTAATAAGTAGGTATTGCTATTGTAATAATATAAGGGAAATAAAAATAGTTTTTGGTGGGTCTAAAAATGAATCTTATCTCACCATTTGCATGAAAACCCCCTGAAATATACATAATAACTGTGACCAAGGACATACAAAGGTGCAAATTATACGTCAGCAGCGGTTCTCTTCCATGAGGATGAATTTATTGCCAATTTTCTTCCAAAAGTTAATGCGAACCATGTGTTGGACCACTGTTTCAAATGGAATCAGTAAACCGAGGTTACAAGAAGCACCCTGAAGCACACTAATATGAAATTAAGCCTAAATACAGGTGTAGTATTCTGGCTCGGGGATCTGTCAGACATAACGTAAGGGTTCTGTGTGAGGTTGCATGCCTTTAGGGGTCTGAAGCCAATATGGCATGCTTCATTACGTTTTTTCATCTCCGTTTTCAACCTCCATTTACCTTTAACCAACTACAGCTGCTGTCACCAACACTATAGTGCACACATGTACACGTACAGCTACACACATTGATGTGCTTCCAGCTATGCTTTGATCATAAGTGTTGTCTTTAGATGCAAGCATTTGGAAAAACACGGAAAAGTGAGAAAGCGATACAGGTGACATGCCAACCTGCTCTTTTACTCAAACAAAATCGAGGCAGCTAATGAGAGAGGCACATTTTTAGAACACGTCGTCTTGGTCTGTTTAATCGGTCGTCCTAATAGCCCCAAATGCCACTCATTATCTGCAAGGTCATATTTGAACATGTCATCTCAAGATGGGAGGGAGATGAAAGTGTGATAGGTGGAGGAAAAAGCATGCTGCATTAGAGAGAGGGGTTAGAAGTGAAGGTTAGGAAGAGAACTGGTCAAAGCCCTCACTGTCATGCCATCAGGGCGGATGAGACCGTATGCGACAGCATCTCGACTGATATGGCAGTGTAGTCTCACAAGAGATGTTGCAAAGTGTTGCTCTGAGGTCATTTTAACCTAGTTTGACAGGATTTTGTGAAGTCTTTGTAATCCTTGGACTTTGTTTCAAAAGATTTCATAAACTCTTGTCTTTGGTTGTGTTTAATGGCTTTGTCTTTTCATGTGATTATTCTAGTATTATATTAAAGTAAATGTGTTTGTCTGCTATTGAAGACTTTGTAATGGAAGATAACACCAGGGTTATTACAATTAATTACTTGAGATAAAACAAACAAACGTATTTTATTTCAGGTAGTTGCCAAGGCAACACTTCTCATTTTCATAGTTTGTTGAATGACTAAATTAACTAAAATTAAATAAACTAAAACTTAAAAACTATAGACCTAAAAAGTAATACAAATAACAAAAACATACAAAATGACTAAACCTTTACAATTTAAATAAAAGGCAGAAAATATAAAAACATTCAAAATATTAAGAAAAAATAGAACAATAGGTTCTATGTGACACCGATGTGACTTCACCAAACCAGCACCCACATTTCAAGGAATTTGGTCATCTGTGAAACCGATTAAGTTTTCTAAAACAAACTCCAAAAAATCCAAGCAGCTGACACCCCGTTTTGGAGACCTTTTCACCTCATTTAAATTTGGAATAATGGAATATGGTGTTGCAATGGTTGGTAGGCACCTACGGTTAGAGCTCTCTCACAGAGTATGTAATACTGTTGGCCACAGTGTGTGTGTGTTTAGATGTAAGATGGTAAGATGGATTAGGGCTCCGATGGGAATTCCAGCTGGCTCTCATTTCTCCTGTCTCTCCAAACTCCTCATCTTATCTAACAGCCCGAATGTTATTAGAGAGAAAGAGTGAGTGTGTGTGTGAGCGTGAGTGAGATTTATGGAAAAAGAGATCAAGAGAGATAAAGGAAGAGGAATGACAATATGTTGAAATGAAGTACCTCATTTATTTATGATTTTTAAAGAGACAGTGCACCCAACAATTTGAAGAACATTTTTCATCTCTCTATCTATCGGCTAGATTTTCAGTCACTTACAGTATGTATTTTTTTTTTACTAAGATCCTCAGTCACAGTATTTATTTAGTTATTGGCTATATATTTTTTTTTTTCATTTTTTTTTTTTTAATTCTTCTGATTGTCTAGAACATTGTCATATACAGTTTGTTTTATTCATTGCAGGTTCATGAATAAATTATTCTTTTGAGTCAGATCTTTTTGATAAGATGATCCAGTTGGCTGCTCTGAATGATTCGTTCATGAATCAAGAACTCGCAAATGTGCCATAGATGAAGATTTTTAGTGGATAACATTTC